AAAAAAAAAAAAAAACGAAGAGAAGGTAAAGAGCTGACGAACGAAGAGAGAAAAAGAAAGGAAAGCAACAGTCGGCGAGGACGGGTCTCTCTCTACCGGTCCCGCGCACAGAACCGGCACGAAAACGCTACCGGGTTCCTCTCCCGGTTCGGATTCGGTAGCTCTCAGCCACGACGTGCTATACCTCCTTTCCCCGTGCCTCGTCAGCGATTCCATTTTTTTTTTTTTTTCTTCGGCCACGGAGCCGTTCCGTTCCGTTCCGTTCGGCTCGGCCGCGCATCGCTCTAGCGTGTATACTTTTTAGCGTTGATCTTTACGGGACAGCCGTGTACCCCTTCTCCTCCAGTTTGCCTGTTTGTTGCCTCTTTGCACGCGCTCTGCCTCTTTCTTCGTCCTGGTTCGGCCTCGGACTGTATTCTCTATTCTGCTGCTGTGTGTGCCGTCGTCGTCGTCGCCGCCTCTCAACTCGCTACCTCTCTCTCTCCTTCCATCCCTCTCTCCGTCTGCGTTTCTCCAGCGATCGGTATAATGCGCGGCGGTAAGCCGGCTGGCATCTGCCTTCCGTGCAACCAACAAGCCCGCCCGCCCGGTCTGCCCCGTTCCACGACTTCTCTCCATGCGTGGAATCTCCGGAGATATTCCTCTTGCCCCCGCCGCTCTGCTCCTCCACGATCTCACCCTTACTGTCCTCTCTCCTCTTCGTTCGTCGTTGACTCCAACACCGCCGCGCGATCGCCTCTAGTAGGCCTTCCTTCTCTTCGTCCCACGCGTGTCTCTCCTCCTTCCTCTTCGCTCGTTCTCGTTCTCGTTCTCGCTCTCGGTCGGCGAGAGACTCACTGTGTGTTTCCCTTCTCCGTCCTCCTTCCGTGTCTGCGTCTCTGCTCGTCTCGCTCGCTCAGCGCTGGCTTCCAGTCTGACGCAGACACCCCGTGTCTTTCTGCCGGCCCCGTTCCTCCTCCGTCCTCGTCCGGCGCGAGCGTCTCTTTGTCGGGCGAACGCGCGCGCGGCAGGCGGCTCTTCGACCCGGCGTCGCGCACGATGGAACGGGACGGCAGGCGGTTGGCTTTGCGCGCCACCGACGAGGACGGAGAACAAACGGAACGGGTCGGCACAGAGAGTAGTCGCAGGATGCCGAAGTTTTGTCGGCGCGGAAAGGCGAAGCGAGGCGAAGCAAAGCGGGGCAAGTATTGTCCGAATCCCGT